GGATGTGCTGAGAGGGACCACCCTGGTGTCTATACCAAGGTAAAGCTAAATAATTTCTTGAATGTAAACAGCTATCTTAAACTAAGTTCTCATTGTAGAACGTTCATCATCCCATCATCCTCTTTTCAATAACAAACCTTGATCTGTTTCCATTCACAGGTCTGCATCTTCAATGACTGGATTCAGCAAACCATGGCCAGCTATTAAGTCCGATCCTTCAACTTCTTTCCGACTCTGCTGCAATTCTTCTATCATTTTAACTCCATTGTTGTTGTCGAGTTCTAAACAACTTGCAGTCAGAAGCCACCTAAATCAATAAAGTTATTCACCTTGACTTCCATTTTTTGCCTTCTGTTTTCCTACAAAACTGTTTTTTTGATATTTAAAATAGTAAAACAAACATTTTACAACCACATCCTGGAATTTAGGAAGTAGGAGAAAGGCAGTTACTTTGTACAGAAATCATCTGAACTGCTGAAATCTTCTCTCTACTTCAATTTGCCACTGCTGCTGTTGTTTAGAAAGGGATTGATACATGCCCAATAATCTGGGACTGGTAATAACAAATTACATATTTATATATTGTTTGCCAATTATACAACAGTCTATGTATCCTTAAATAGAATTTTGATCTAATTTTGATCAGTGACTGTCTCTGAGTTTTTTTATTTGGTAAGTTCATGTAATCTGCTTCAAACCTTTTCTGTGGACATAAGTACGACTGAATCTGAGGACATCTGGATATAGGGTGGGCTCCTTTTAAGGGTCTTTTTACTCCTTTCTAACATGCAATGGCAATTGATTGGCAGAGCCTGTTACCACTGTTGCAAGACATCATCATCAGTCACTCTTACTGTGTAATTTTACACGTGGCCAGAGTTAGAATTAAGACAGAAACCAGCTGTAGTGCATGTACATTCTAGCGATCACTGCACAGTAATTTATAACAATAGCATCTTATTTACAACAGTAAACCTACTATTAAACATATTCCTAAGACCTAAACAGCACCTTTTCAAAGCTAGGTTAAGAAACTTTATGCAAAAGTATCCCTGCATTAATTCAGTTGTTATCTGCTGAAGTAATTATCCATGTGAGGGATAAATCATCATCACTAGTACACTGAATAAAACTATAATCCCTAACCCTATGGTGTCAGAATGTGTGATTTCTGGCTTTTAAAAAATGTTTCCACTGTACTTTTTTTTGGACATCACACAGTACACGACATGATTATATGTCAAAAAGAAATATATATAGTCATACTGCCTCTGTTTTCTAGATAACTTTGATGGATTTCTTTTCAGGATATATTTTCATCTTTAAAATGATAACGAATTATTTTAGTAAGAACCTTTAAAAAAA